ATGTGGATATATGGCTATGCTCTCTGGCCAAACACACGCAAAATTTTAATCAATTTTCAAAAAATTTTACCCAAAGCTATGGAAATTAAAATTATTCTTATGCAGCGCCCTGCTATGCGATTCTCATAAATGCAAGTAAGCTCTGCAGGCTATTTTCTTTGGACTCTAAATGAAAATTTCTTTTCGAATTGACCAATGCAAATTGTTTTGTATGTAAGAATGTGGGTATGTTGCATGGGCATGTGCATACGTATGCATTTATGCATAGATATGTATGTATGTATGTAGGTTTTTTTGGTTTTTTAATAAAAAATGATTCTATAAATTGCAGTTCTCGTTCAACTAAGAGTTCAACTAAGCCCTGACCCTGACCGAACTGCTTTGAAATGATCAAAATTTTTGAATTCTTTTAATTGGCCAATATCTATATCTAATAAATGCAATAAAAATATTTTTTGTGTGCATGATTTGTGCATGAAAGAATGCAGGTATGCGCATATGTACATAATTTTTAAAATTGGAAAATTCTTAATACATTTAGTGTGAGCGCTAGCTGGTTGTATTTGGCAACCAAAAAGTGCTGTAAGCCACAACATATATTGATTGGTTTATACACAAAGTAGGCAAATGAAGCATACTTGCATATCGGATATATATATATATATATACATATATATATATATATAAATTGCTCGAAGGCACGATACTTTAATTCACGGGCAATGTGTAGTCAATAGTAAATATTTAATATGGTTTCACTGGATTGAGTAACTCGCTGCCTCGAGGGCTACTCAATTGCAAGTTAAACAACTCAATTTACCCTCGGGGCAGACGGCAAACAAATCGCAGCAATTGCACGACAACCTAACTGTATATGTGTGTGTGTGTCAGCTACAGCTAAGGCAGCGCACATACATGCACGTGCATGGGTATACGCTGCCAGATAGACAGGCAATCAGTGCGTTTTCCTGTGCATTGTCACTGGCACAAAATAAAAGAGAGAATGAGAGAGAAGCAAAGAGTGTGAGAGAGCGAGAGAAAAACAATTTAATTAAAAATTTATGAGCGTGTCGTTGTTGTGCCGTGTTGTTGCCGTTGTCGTTGTCGTTGTCGTTGCTGTTGGGCTGGCAAACAGATAAGCAAGGCAACAAACTGTTGCTGCACCCCCTCCCACACACACACAGACAGACATAAAGCGAGCACAGTGACGCCCCCTGGCGACTGCTGCGCGCACACATGCCTACCGGAAATGGCCTGCTGCCATTGTTGTTCCCCTTTCATTGTTCAGTTGTGGCGCAGCCCCTCAGCGCGTTATTGTTATGTTGGCTTTGGCTCATTTGTTTTGACTTTTTGCTGGCTTTGCTTAGACTTTTGCCAGCTAATTGCCAATGAGCTCTTGCACTTGCCATCTCTTACGAGCGAGAGAGCTGGAGCGAGAAGGAGGCTTAATTATCAAAGTTTTTGAAACACCCGCCGCAAAAAGTTTACTCACAGCAACATAATTGAAATGTTTTCTTTTTTGCCTAAAGGTGCTTGCTTGTGTGTGTTGTGTGTTTGTTCACTTTGTTGTTGAGCCTACAAGGTTCTTTATTTATTTCAATTAATTTGCAATTTTTGTTCATAATTTCATGCGTTCAATTTGTTGAGCCGACGCCGCAGAAAGTTTATACAACTGCCGCCAGTTGATACCCTGTAAACATAAAAAGCGCGCAGTAAACTTTTACGTATGTGAGTGAAAAGTGAGCTCAACAAAGTATTTGTCTTTTAAGTTAAGTGTGGATAACTTTTAACAACGTTAAGCATGAAAATATATTGCCAGCCAAATTCTTTTCTTTATCACATTCTCACTTTAAGTCGCTTTCTTTTTCATACACCATCAAACACTTGTCTTACAGCATATCAGCTAGCCGAGCACTCTCTGTTGTGCTCTCCTCTGTATTGTAATCTGCATGCTAATTATACACCTAACTAATTACTGATGCTCTCACCCATTTGCCGTGCTTCTTTCACCGCGCTGGGTGCGTAATTTATGAAGCTGCTTATCTATTAAGGAGCAACGCTTCAAGTGTTAGCTATTTATAAGCATGAAAGCTTCTTGGCTGGGCCTTTGTTTGGTGAAGGAACAAAAGGATATGTTGAGCTAGGCACGTGCGTGACATTGAATAACCGAAAGACAGTTGGCCAACTCAGCGAATTCGGTTTATGGCCGCTTTGCTTCGCATCCGGTTCGTACATTGTGTGCCCTCAGCACAATGAAAACACCACGCCATTTGGGGTTGCGTAAACTCTTTAAAAAGTGGTTTAAAGGCCGGACGCCTTGAAAGACTGTTTAAGCAAAATTATAAAAATTAAAACAAAAAACTAACTGAAATTTACGTTCGCTCCAAAGCCTAATTTGCCTGTCTTATGCCATCTCGATTTCAAGTAATATTTCCACAAAATTCAATCAGACGTGCTTCGCACTGTGGCACGGTTGACGGACAAAGTTTTGCGTGGGCGCAAGTTTCGTGGGCGGAAAATTGTTTGGAAAATTGTTGCTTTCAACTTTTTGCTTTCATTCGATTGACTTTCAGTTTGCCTTCAAACGTCGCTCTGATATTGCTTTTTAAATTGTGATTTGTGATTTGTCAATTGCGGAATTTCAACCTGAACGACTGCAACTTGTGGCTGAAAGTACGCGCAGCAGTTTCCACTAAGCGGGCAATGAGTGAATTGTTTGAGCACTGAAATTCGATAGAATCTAGTCGAGGCTTTGCCAGCTCAAGCGGAACAAGTTTTTGTTAGCAAAGTTTCTTGATTTGCATTTTGTCAAAGGCACTTTTGCAATTTATGGTAAACACGCACTTTATGCAGAAGCTGTCAGATGTATTTCTTGGCAAATCCGTTATATGACTATCGCATAAGTAGCGCCCACAGCTTCTTGCCCATTGTTGCCACACAGCACAATTTGATCTTTGCTTTGCTTATATTATATGCGTTCTTTTCGCTTTATTTGTTGCACGCGTTTCGCCGTGGCCCACGCACAACAGCAACACCAAAGTGCGATTACTTCATATGAAAAGTTTCTCTCTGTGTGTGCGTGTGTGTGTGTGTGTGTAGCATACGTTTTGGTGTCTGGCGCCACATATGTATAAAGACGAGCTCATATAGCGTGTTTCCTATGGAGCTGCCTGTGTCTGTTGCTGGCTTATGAAACGGGTAGCTCAAGGGGTCTTAAAAGCTTTTTCAATTGTTGAATATTTTACAATTTTTTTATTAGCTTTGTGCTGGCGATTACCGCAATTTTATCCCTTTAACATTTCAAGTGATGCCTGCTGGCAGCACACAGTTGTCGTTGTTGTTGTTGTTATTGCTGTCAGTGTTGCTGTAACATTTCTTTTTTATGTTTATTTCTCATTAACAACAAGCGAGCTGCGCATTTTGTTGGCCCCGTTTTAATGGCCCACGGACCGTTGATTTTAACGTCTCGTGCCAGTTAGTGTTGCTGTTGCTACAGTTGTTGCTATAGTTGATTTTTTTTCACAAATTAGTCGCACGAACATTTTGCTGTGGTGGCACTAAATGGCAGGAAAAAGTCGACCACGACGTAAAGCTGCCAGCCGGGCGAGCTCGGCGCAACGGCGCAACAGCAGCAAATTGTTCGCAACATGCAAAGTGAAGGCTCGCAAATAGGCCGACATAGTCGGTGCCCGAAAAGAGCGAGGCACTCAAACCCCGAGCAATGGCAACGACACTGACACCGAGCTGCCGCACCAGGCTTCAGTTCTTGCGGCTAAGCAAACATGCTGGCACACACAGCGCTGGCAGTCAGACACAGTTGCTTATCTGCTGTTCAGCCAGCGTTGTCCTTTCTGTCCTCACAATACAAACACACACACACACACACACACATATACAAAGAGTGAGAGAGAGTGTTTCTGCACCTGATTTTCAGTGCCTTCAACAGTCGTGTGCAATTTCCTACTGTTGTATCCAGTGTCTGTCTTTTTTGTATACTTTTCCATAGCATACTTACGTGCGCGCAGGCACGAAATGAATATGGATTTGCTTTTAATTACTGACTGAGCACCGAAATAACAATAATGAAACCATTTTTCGGTTGCTATTTTTGTGCCTGCGGCTTCTGGCTGGAATTTGTGCTAAGAATTTCGTTGCAGTTATTTTTGGGGCATATTTTATACAGAATTTACTGCGTGCTAATTTGCGCAGCAAGGATTGCATAGACTACATTGAGAGTTGTGCACATTGATGGATGGCAGCTATTCAAGATTATCGCTGTCATAGCATGCATTAAAAAATAATTTATTTATGCTTTTGTTTATGCTGCCTTCTGGCTGGTTTGAGTCACATTTTGCTTACTTTACAATATTTTTTTTGTTTGCTTTTTTATGTTTAAAAGCATTTCAGCGTAGCTGTCTGTCATGTGGCTGTTGCCACATGACTTCAATTAGTGTGTGCCTGATCCCACTGGAGGCCCCTTTTTTATCGAGTCGTAAGGATATTGCCTGTCATTGCTGTCGAATCAGGTCAAGTAAGGCCCAACCCAAAAGCCTGGGCAGGGCTCATACTCAGCTCGCTTTAACGCAAAGTCTTTCACACACATAAGGCTTTATGTAAAAAATGCGCCTAAAAGGTATGCAGCACTTGCCTACCTACCCATACACACACACACACACACACACACAAGCGCAGATAAAAGCGCTGCCCGCTGGCGTTGCAAATTTTCTCCAAGCTTTGCGCTGAAACGCGCGTTCGCTTCCTCTTCTTCCGCTGCTTCTTCTTCTTCTGCAGTGTGTGTAACTGTTTAAATATGTATTGGCCTGCATATTTAATAAGCTACACGTGCTTTTCAGTCTACCTGTACACACACACACACACACCCAGATTTACGTTTAATTTGGCAACTTGTTAATGTTCATTGGTTTATCAAAGTAGGCGCGTCCATCACATTTTTTAGGGCTTGCTCTAATTATTGTCTGTGGCAGGGTTAGGGTACTTACACATTTAATATGCTGCGCGCCTTAATCCTTTGTCTGCATACATTATTTAAGCACGAGCGTTAAAAAGCGCGCGCGTTTTTTAGATGCACACACAAAAACGCGCGCGCGCGCACCTGAAGAACTGCTAAGCGCGTGTGTCTATGTGTGTGTGTGTGCCGTTTGACAAATTACACGCGTGTGCCTTTCTTGTTATTACAATTGTTGTTGCTGTTGCTGTTATTGTGGTTGTTGTTTTTCACACATTTCGTAGCACACTTCTGGGATGCTGATAAATTGCTCTTTTGTTGAGCATTTTATATATGGCACGCAAAAGATGATGTGATTTTTCTTGCATTAGATGAATATTTAATATTTCAATTTCATTACGTGACAGCGGCAGCGAGACAGATGCAGAGAGCGAGAGCGAAAGAGATGGAAAAGTAATAGGTAAGTTAGAGGCGAGTGTTAGAGTGTGAGTCTCGCATGTCCATTTAATTGTTGCCCCTCAGCATGCTCATTATCAGCTTGGCTAACACTACACAAACACATGTGAATAGTACCCGTTGTTGTTCGTGTCTCGAGTGCGTCATTAGGCGTTTGTTAATGGCTTTTCAGTGTCGCCATTTGCCAGCAGCAGCAGCGGCAATAGCAGCGGCAGCAGCAGCAGCAGCAGCGGCGGCAACTCACATGCCTCAAAGTATGCAGTGCAGCGCGCGTGTAAACTCATTTAATATGCTTTATGACGTCATTCATTCGCTCTACTGGCCTGCATGGGCTGCCTTAACAATTTCCCAACTAGGGCCCAGACCAGCCCCGCCCAGCCCAGCCAAGCCCAACCCAACCCAGTGCCACATGCGACAATTCTTCTGTTTCACTGCTGTTTTCTTTTTTTTTTGGCTCTTCTGTTGTTGCCTTTTTTGCCACTATTGTTGCTGTTGTTGGACACGCCTCTTTTGTTTACTTTTGCCTTCATTGTGGCGCAAGCGTTGGCCATTTCAAATGCACATAGCCTTGGCTCACGAGCACAGAATATCCCCGGGCAATACGCTTAAAACGCGTACGAGCCTAGACCTGAAATATATCACGCGAATATATTCTATATTCTCTACAATATGCCATTTCATAACTAGCCAGAGCTCGCAGCTAATATGTGAATAGCCTTCATTCTTAGGCTAACAAACTAGATTTTAAATCAATTTCAATTTAATACTCATTTTTGCTGAATATGAACTAGACATTCCAAATAATTAAAATATAATAAAATAAATAAAAATATAACTAAAATAAAATTATTACAAAATTATTACAAATTCTGCATATAAATTTAAGCTTTACCTATATTATACCAAAGTTATTTTCCCTTCTAGTTTTTAGATCTTCTCTTGACATACCTTATCTTTCGAGAATTCTTTCTCATTAAAAAATTTGATTTACATTTCATACTCTTCTCTTCGCTGGTTTGTCTTTTGATGTCCTGCCACACAGAATTCAATCTGCTTTAAGCTCATTTATGCCATGACCGCAGCCAGAATCTAAATTGGAGCTGTGTATTCAACTGGGCGCAGGTCAGTTAGGTGCTGACCTTGTGCGCCTGCTGACATGCCCTTATATGAGCCTAAACTTAGTCACGATATACGACATACGCTGGTAGCGCCGAAATTGTTGATGGCCCCGTTGATTACATGTCTCAGCTGGTGACTGTCACTGCCTGCTAGTCCAACCACTTAGCAATTGGTTAACACGATTTTGGCCTGAGCCAATCCGGCTGTCCGGCGAGAGCCCAGAAAGCAGCCTACTTGGTACTCAGCGCGGAGTGACTGAAGTCACGTTTTAGCCGCTTGTTTACCGAACCGTTGGGAAAACTCTGCACTTAGGGAAGGCCTTGACAATCAGCTGACCACAAGTAAACTACCTGCTATAGCTTTTCGTGTTCCACAAAAATAAAAAATATGACTTGGCCATATTTGAAAATTGAATGTAACTTTTCAAATTAAAAACTTAAAACTTCAAAAAGAAATAATAATAAATCTAAATCTAAGAGCTTTAGCGGTGGTTATGAAGAATTATTATTTTTACAGTTCTAATTCCCAAGACTCTGCGAACTTTCTCTGCTCAGTCTCCTTTTCTCTCTCTCTCTCTCCCCTTCTCAAAAGTCTTGTTGGAATCTTTCTTTTAGGCTGTGCCTGGCATTAACATTATATTCACTGGACGATCGAATTCTTTTGCTACTTCGCATTTACTTTACTTAGTGTAACTTCACTTTACTTCACGCAACAGAAATTCCAAGAAACTCCATTTTGTTTTCACTATTGTTGTTGTTGCTATTGCTGTGTTTTCTCTGTTTCTGTTTGTTGTTGTTGTAGTTTGCTAACTACCAGTGGCGTCCCGTCCCGTCTCGTCTCGTCTCGTTCCGCGACTGACCGTTGCTTAAAGAGCTGACGAAGCGGTAAACGGAAATGGAAACATGAACTGAAACGAAACGAATACCGTTACTCTGTCTGCATCGGCTCCGTTTTGTTTGGACGTCCGTTGGTGTTCAGGCTAAGCAACAAACTGTTGTCGCCAGCTCAAATTCAAGTGCGTGTTCGAGGCTCGTGCAAAGCTTCGTAGCTGGCGAGGAGCTCGTGTTTGTGTTTGTTGTGCTTTCACACATACGCACACACACACAGACACACACATACATTCGCATATAGCACGTGCTAAGCTTGAGCTTTCCTTTTGCTTGGCGTAGCACGTGAGGCCGAGACAATTCAATTGGTTTTCTCAACAAGTGGAAAGCTTTCAATGCGCCATCAATTAGCAGCACAGGCGCTAATTGAATTTTCATGGCTACCGAAAAGAAGAAAAAAGCTCGCTACAAACGTTTGTACCTCAACCTGTTGACCACCACAGTGTCGCTTAACTGTGACGCTTAACAGGGGCAGATACAAGAGGAGAAGGAAGCTTTTATTGCATGCTGGCTTTTGTCCTTACAGTTTGCAAATAGTTTTCTGCCACATCAAGGACCCTGCCTTGCTCTTGAAACTGGCAACTAGCTAGAGCCAGAGCAGTTGAAATATTTATGCATACATAAGGTCATCGAAGCAATTTGTCCGCTCCGCTCAGCTGGCACTAAAACTACTTATATACATTCACACTGTATATGCTTGAGCTCTTGTCGGCAAGTCTGCAAGTCGGCAAGTACGTACATGCTCTATAGATATATATATATATACACACATTTGCCAGGCTGTATAATTTTATGTTTTAATACTTTGCCAAGGACAAGGTGGCAGGCATAAAACTTTTCAGTTTTCGACACAAAAAGTCTATAATTGAAATTTAATTGAAGTATAATTGAATGCGGTATATTTAGGTGTTGGCAAGGAGCTATAAATTTGGGGCAAGAGCTACTGCTGCAGTACCAAAAAATATATAACAAATTATAGATATTTTCTTGCTCATTTCGACCATTTTCAGTTTGGATATCTGTCATTATTTTAAGCCGTCAAGCGAGCTTTGCCTATTAGCGCCATCTATCGTGTTTTAATGTAGTTAGTTCGTACAGCTTTCGTTAAAATTCAAAATGCAAATAATTTAGAGTTTTTTTAACTAGTGTCGAGGCCAAAATCAGTTAAGCACTTGTTTTTATATTTTTACCACGAGTTAATTTATGCATTTGTTGATATATGTATCAGTTTTTATTTATAATTCATCATCTCTTTGACAAGGCTAAGTCTGTTTGATCTTGAACGCTGTAAGAGCTTAACTGAGCCAGTGGAAACTTAATTTCAAATTTATGTTTGATCAAAGACGATATTTAGTGCATTTCTAGCTACTTACTAGAGACTTAATCTGACTTACGTATACTTAATGGCGTTGCTTTAGGAGCAGCAGGTTTATAACTTACTCTTAATGAAGTTTGCTAAGGATGATGACAAAAATTCATTAGCAATTGAGTTAAATTTACAAGCTGACCAACAACAATAATAATATAAGGTGTTTGTGTGTATATATACACTCTTATTTAAAATAAAATATTTACACTATCGATTTGCGGTTTCGTTGAAGACAAAGCAACAGACCACCAGACTAACAGCTTATGACAACAAAGCATCCTGGTACGGACTAGTACTTTACTTTTTATTTATATTTGTATATATATATTCATATATAAATGTAAATGTATATTTAAGCACAGGCACATCATGACTAGGCACGACAGAGCTGCATGATAGATGCTTGAAAGTGCCTCAAGGAGCAATTTAGTGTTAAATGTTTTTTGTTTCTAGTTAATTGCATGCGGCTTTTCGTTTGAATTGAAAGAGTTTTTGTAGGTGTTCTGTTGAAACAGTTTATCACATATTTATATGAAGAACGTAAACTGGTTCCACGATTGACGTAAACTTCTTAAAGCTAGAAGCGGAAACCGGGCAAACTTAAAAAATATTTTATTTCGTATGCATGTTTATGTATTTCATATGTATAAATATATATATATATGTAAATCTGATTGCTGCTCAACTAAGTTGCTGACTTTATACTCCTCTTCTGCAAATGTCAAGTGTGGCAAAAAGAAGCAGAAGAAAAAACATAGAGACTCGAAATAGACAATGACAGCTCAGAAAGGTCTCGGAGTCGAGTCGTATGCGAATGACAAAAAGCAAAAAAAAAAAACAGCGAAAAAAAGAATAACGAAAAAAAAAACACTTTGGCACACTTTAAAGTTGAAGCGACGACGTTGGCAGTTCGTCACGCCTTTAGACGCCTCTCTGTCATTTAGCAACCGCCGTCTATGGACCATTATTGTTTTTAATTTGGCTTTAAACTGATCAAGGTCGCCGCGACAAAAAGCGGATTTAAATTGGAACGACAAGATGCCAGACACGATAGTTGGCCATATGGAAGGAAATGCTGCCATTGGCTACCTGGCAATAAATACCTGCACTTAACAATTTTATTCGCTTGGACATTGTTCATTATTGAAGTACTTATCACAATGGATTTACCATTCGGCAAACCTGTTTTCACAGCATTTTACAAAAATACCAAACATAAATGCACTAAAAATCAACTTTTAATTCAATATAAATTAGCTAGCGAAATGGCATGGTTTCTAGAGACTCTAGAGTAGATACAAATTGTCTCGTAATAAGTTTAAAATTATTATTAAAGGAAGGCGGCTATGTGCTCATATCTATCTTCATCAAATTTATAAAAATCTCTAAGCTTAGCTTTTTATAACGCTTTACACTGAGTACGATAAAATTACAGTTAACCTTTGATTTGATCAGCTAGGGTATGCACACTGCCATAACCTCAAAGTAACGGTTAAGTATGATTGTTGTTTATGTACGTATGCATAACGTACGTATACTTATTTTAATGAGGGTACGCCCAGATTTGAGTTTCTGGAATTTGCCAGCGAAGCGCTAAAAAAGCTTAAGACAAAAAGTCAAGAATTGAATTTTGCAGCCGCAAGTGGGCAGCAGCAGCACTAGCAGTAGCAGCAGCAGCGAATGCCATCCACACAGAAAAATGCAGTCCACAGCGGTGCGGCCAGCACGCTGCAGGCTGTTACTCACCACGACGAGGGCAGCGCGCGCAACCAATACCAAGCCACTGCTGCCATTTTGCATATAAAAGAGTGTCGCGTACGTGCCGCACTTCTCTCTTTCTTGGCGACAGTCAAGTCACGAGCGTATTTCGAACGGCACTTGTGCAACCGAGCAACGAAAGTCGTCGAAAAAGCTCACAGTCAGACTGTGTGTGCGAGTGCGTGTGCGTGTGTATTTGTGTGGAACGTGTTGCTGCCCCTTCAGCCAGCTGGGCATTGTGTTGAATAAAAGCTTGCGCACGAACTTTCCAAAACTCACCACGGCGCCAACGACTACAGATCGACGGCCAGAGAGTTGTCGACGTCGCCGCGTGTAATAAAAGAAGCAAATTTGAGTTGGTTTTTGGGCTTTGGCGTCGGCTTCGAGAAATTGTGCGCGACAACGTAGCAAACAGTGTAAATGGAGCTTTGATAGCGAACGGAAGGACAAAAAACTCTGCTGCCGCTGCTCAAAGCCGATCTCGATTCGAGTGTTTTCTTAACATTGTGTTTGATTAATCAGTAAGAAAAACATATATAAAGCCAACTGCTGACAAGCTAAAGACAAACTGTGCGCGTGCTATCAACTCTAGAGGGTAAACAAAATGGCAAAACTTTTTGTTGTTTTTGCCGTTTTGGCTTTGGCGGCCATTGGCTCAGGTAAGCATTCAACAAATATTTTAAAATAATCATAGACTAATCTTAAGCACATATATTTAAAAAAATAATAATACCTGCCTATAGTGTGGGCCTTGTTTAATTGCTCTGTCTGGCAATTTGCATTTGTTCAGCGGAAGTTGTCAATCAATTAAATATAATTAAAAAAAAAAAAAATAATTAATGGCCTTCAAAATTTAAGAGCAAAAAACGTATATTGAAAGCTGACTTCAGCCTGTTTGTAACCTTGATTATGCAAAAAGGACGCGTAACCAACTACCATAACAACAACAACAACGAGCACTTGTTGCACTGGCAAAACAACTTTCATTTCTGTAGGGCTCCACAACGGATCCTGAGATTCAACTTGAGAAAAATAACATAAGCATTCAGCTTAACCTAAAAATGTTGCTTGAAATCGAACTCGAGTTCGAATCGGAGTCAAGTCGAGTTGCTCTTTTGACATTTGCGGAATGCATTTGTTGACTCTGACAGGCCATCGATCAATTTATGTATGCGTTAATAAAGTACAAGCCGACGACGCATGTTGGGCAGCGGCCAGCCGTTAGCCGTTAACAGTTATGCAGATATGGCAACTGTTTCTCTTTCACTGTTGCCAACTGTGACTGCAAAATGTCAAAGTTATAGCCAAGCGCAACAAGTATTTCATTATTTTCTGCTCAGTTGCTGTTGTTGTTGTTGTTGCCGTGTTATTTTTGGATTGCGGGTTCTTTGCATTGGTATTGGTGACATCGTATTTCATAATGGCAAACGTGTTTCTTTTTGGCCAACCCCAAGAGACCCAACCAGCTAGACGACATGCCGTTAGCCCCAGTCTGCATCAACATATGTCTATGTCTATATATTCATGTCGGTGTTCATTTTGTTTTCGTTGCTGTTGCTGTTGTTGTATTATCTATTTTGTATATATATATATATAACAGGAAGTGCCACATTTGCAATTTCAAACTCCATGGCAATATCGAACTCAAAATTCTTCCGGTTTTGCAACAACACAAATAGCAAAACGTTTAAATATTTTTCAAAGTTTTGCTTTGACGAAATTCTGCAAATAGAAATGTTTTTCCTAAATTAAAAAAGCTTTATTTGAGCTTAACAAAATATATAAAAAGTACAAATTGTATTTATATATATTAAAGTTTTTTTTATAATAAAAAATATATTTAAAAATAATTTTTAATTTAGTTTAGTATTAATTTTTCTAACTGATTTTTTTAAATGTACAAAAATTGAAGTTTTTCTTAGTTTTTCTCTAATAGATAATAATAAAATATTTTTCCTAAATTAAATACAGCTTTAGTTGAGCTTGACAAAATATATAAAAAATATAAATTGTTTTTATATTTATTAAAGTTTTTTTTTTATAATTCAAAATATTTTTAATATATTTAAAAATAATTTTTAATTTAGTTTAGTATTAATTTTTCAAACTAATTTTTTAAATTTACAAAAACTGAAGTTTTTCTTAGTTTTTTCTCTAATATTTTCTATAATTTTATTCAATTATCCAAACTGAATTTTCTTTAATTTCCCTTACAGCCAGTGCTGCGGAGGTGCGTGTTAAACGTCAGGCCACCACCGAGGAGCCCAAGAAGGAGGAGTCCTTTGAAAAGGAGCTGTGCAAGGACAAAGATGCCGGCGAATGGTTCCGTCTGGTAGCTGGCGAAGGCGACAATTGCCGCGATGTCATTCAGTGCACCTCATCGGTAGGCAACACTCACCTGCTCTCACCTGCTTTCAATATTACTTGAATTTTGTGGCTTTTCCTTTGCTTTTCCGCCTTTGATTTGCAGGGCCTGCAAGCTATTCGTTGTCCCGCTGGCCTCTTCTTCGATATTGAGAAGCAGACCTGCGACTGGAAGGAGTCGGTGAAGAACTGCAAGAGCAAGAACAAGGAGCGCCGTGTGAAGCCACTGCTGCACACCGACGAGCCACTCTGCCAGGATGGCTTCCTGGCCTGCGGCGATGGCAACTGCATTGAGCGTGGTCTGTTCTGCAACGGCGAGAAGGATTGCTCAGACGGCTCCGATGAGAACACTTGCGGTAAGTGCACAAACGTCAATTTACTAAAGTTAAGCGAAGGCCATTGGCTGAGGCGATATTGCTACACTTAAAATATCTTTAATTGAGTGCCAAGAAATATGTAATTTATTGCATCATAAATTATAAATAATTCCCTTTTTTTATGCGACTAGCAACGAGAGTGAAAGGCTTTGCATATATATATCATACTCGAACTAGTATACAAAGCAGATAAAAAAGACTCTTTTACAACTCTTGAGTTTATAAATGTTAAGTGTTTTTAATGAGGCCGGTGCCACATGCAGATTGACTGCTCAATGATTCAGCAAGAGTCGAGCAGTGAGCTTACATAGGATTGGCTGCAAATCCGATATTACCCCATCAGAAAAAGAAGAAGAAGAAGAAGCAGCAGAAAACACAAACATTTCTAGCGGCTCACATTTGTGTGCCGCGTCAATTTCTTTGAGCTGTGCGCCGTGGGCTTTAAGCCTGCCCCAGTCAGACGGAGTCGCACCTTAAAACCGGTCGACGGCATTTAACATTACTTTTGCAGTTGCTCGCTCTTTGGAACAGCTCTCAAAATCTTTGAATATAAAGAAAAACAACAGCTATGCAACACACAAGTGTCTGACAGGTGGGGGGATGAGGGATGAGGCTGGGGGTCGGCGGCCGCCTACGTGCCATGCAGGTGTTGCAGCAAGCTGAGACCGGTTTCGTAAGGCCCTTCAGAGCTGGCAAAGCCCATAGAAAACAGCTTGATTTCAGTACAACTTTTCATATATATATTTAATTATTTAATTTGGGTGGAAATGTCAAGTGTGAAATGCTAGCTAAAATGCCAAAAGAAACTATTTGCGAGCTGAGCTCATCTTAACTGGGTTGCGCCAGGCGATTTGCATCAGCTGGATCGATACAATTTAATTCATTATTTAGCTGGAGTCAACTGTTGAGCCATGCTTAAGTCACACACATCTCGCATGCAACATCTAAATGTTAAATAAATCAATAATTAATTTTAACCTTGGACTTAAAAGAAATAAAACCAAAGCAAACGTTCGCCTAGTTGGCGCCCTCTCCCCCCTCTGTGAGCTCTTGGCATGTGGGGAGCAGCTACCGAAAGGCGTTTCGAAGCCCGCTCGATTCATGTGTAAATTAGCCTTACATAATCAGCTTAAAGCGCTGTATTTTTAGCAATTGCAAAAAGCCGACTAACCAAAAAAAAAATAATAATAACAACAAAGAGCCAGCAACTTGTTATTTATTTATTATAACTTTTTTTTATAATGGCAGCCAGCGTAAAAACCGCAACTAATTTTAAATAACAACAATGTTGGCGTCTTTCTTTTGTGGCTTTCGGCTTCACTTTTTTTTTTTTGCTTCGATTTTATTTTCATTTCGCTTTGGCTGGGTTTACATTAATAATTTGCAAAACACGCCGCGAACATTTCTCAAGAGGCGACCGCATATAAATGCGCATTAATGAGCAAATCAAATGCCAAACAATAGACGAGCAGCAAATGGCCATTGCCAGTTCTAAGACCTCCAACTCCAACGCCGCCTCCTGCCATAGATCATAGATCTGATCGCTGATCGTGTCTTGGCTAATGCGATTCAGCCTCTGGCTGTGGCGGCAACATTTCAAATGCTCAGCGAGCCATCAAGTTGTAAACAATTGTATTTAAAATTGAATAATCCACGTTGAAGGCAATGAGGAAGCCACACTCTGAGCCACACTATGCGAGCCGCAATGTTAGCCAACTTAAATGGCAGCCACATCTCAGCTGGGCTGCAATTTAAAAGCCACAAATCATTAATGTGCAGCAAAGCGTCGAAGCGCAGGTAATTAGCTGTATAAAGTGACGATTGTTACGCTTAGATAGAGACTCGAATAAAAAACAACAAACAAACTAAGGAGTGCCTGAAGAAATTTATTGTAGGAAAAAATAGATTTATGTGAATTTCGATTCAATTACAAATTAAGAAATCACAGTTATAGCTGGTTATTTAATATATATATCAATATATATGTCGATATGTATGCCTTCTGATTATGGTTTATAGATATACATTTTTTTATATATAAATCAATATTTTCGTTAGCTAAAAATATTTTAAAAATATAGCAATCTTTAAATATAAAGCTCTTATACAAATTATGCAATATTTTTATTGCATACATTTCAAATTAAATATTTTTACTCCATCAAATAAATTCATGAAAAGGAAAAAGCTTATAAAGCTGTGTTCACAAAAATAGTAGTGCTTTTTCAGTTGAAAAATAAAAGAACATAAGTCTGTAAATAAAATAAGTTTGTAACAAGAAAACAGCAAAAAAAATAACTAAATATGTTAAGCTGTATATTCCCTTCAAATTGTTCTCAAAATATTGTGTTTATTACAAAATTTTGTTGTGCAACATTTTGTGCTCGGTCGCACTACTATTTTAATGAACAAAGCTGTCTCTTGCAGCTGTCGCTTGTGTAAGCCAAGTGAGCTTGAGTGGCATTTCCATAGAATCCTTCAGTGTTATCTCAACAGTTGCATCGCTATCGATTTCATAACCGAACACTACAAAGAGATCCGTGATGGCTCACTTGTAATTCCATATGGCACTTTGGTTGACTTATCACGTAATCGGTCTGCAGCTACGAACATCCTCTTGAAGCTAAACAGCAAAAGAAAGAAGTAAGACAATCAATAAGCCAGCTCGCATTTAGCTCACAGTTGGCCAAAAACAATGTGTGTACACAAATAGCGGGGCAAAGCGAGAGGCGGACAGAGAAATGGCATGCAAACTGAAAGACAAACCCTAAAGTCGTTTAAATGCCAGGGAATATTCAGAGGCTGAGCTGCACAACCGGTTCGATGCTCGATGACATAACACTTGGCTATAACGACAGATTATTGGCAACAAGAAATGCCAACAGCTGGCACGCAAAGTGAAAGAAGGAGACAGAGAGAAAGAGAGAGAGAGAGAGAGAGAGAGAGGCAGAGGCAGAGGGAGAGATTGAATGACAGACAAAGTGATAAAAGGTCAAGCGGAGACAAAAGCCGGGTGCGACCTACTTGCAGCAACTGACTTGAAAACCAAAAAAAAAAAAAACAAAAACCAAAAAAATGGCAACGTAAAACTAAAAGTGAAAAACAGAAGAGAGGAAAAAAATACAAGTGTTTTCTTTTTCTTTTATTATTATTTGATTTGCTTGGCCTTTGCGTGCCTCGCTGGCATTTCACTTTGGCAAGTGCCAAAGCAGCAAAGCAGCAAACAACAATAACAAATTACGTCAATGAGTTTCTTTTATTGCAAACTTTCGCAGCTGATTTATGATGATGAGCTACTACTCGAAGCTCAAAAGCGCCAATGCTTCACGATCCATGCTCCATGCTCCATGCTCCATGCGCCGTGCAAGTGCAAGGCTTACAAATGACGCTGGCAAATAACGTTCATACATATATCATTTGCATATGACCGCTAATGAATGGCAAACACGTGGGCGTGTACTGAGGCTGACCGACAGCCAAAGATACCGACGCATAGATTAAGCACACAACTGCGGCCCTCTGCCCCGGCCCAGGTGAACGTTGACTGCATGCCAAAGCAGCCACCGAGTCGGCGCTCTTCGCCTGATTGACGAAGAGCCAACTTAAAAAGTAGATTCCAAATAATGTTAAAAAAAACTTGTATGAGATACTGAAATTGTGCAGACATTTTCCATTCACTTTGCGTTTTGGCGACGGCGGTTTTCCCGACGCCCGGCTGATTTGTGATTGGTTTTCCAGCGCCCGATGCAGTTCATTGAACTGCCCATGCGCTCGCCCATGTACAGTTAGCTAATTGTTTGAATTCATTTTCCATAAAGTTGATTGAACTTTGTTGTAACGCTCCGCACAGAATACAAATGATTAGCCAACATTTAAATACACTGAAAAAAATCATATATAAAGGTGGGCGTTGATTGTGTCTTGGGTCTTGCTCAAGTATATCAGGTGTAATATTCACGTTAACATCTACAAGGCTTTTAACATTCTAAAACTCAAGCGGTGGCTTCAGAGTGAAGTGTTAGTAGTTCTTATACTTTATGTTAAGTAGCTCAGCTTAACAGCTAACATTCTACAAATCAAACCGTGGCTTAACAGTGAACTGTTATTAGTCCTTATGCTTTATGCTAAGCAGCTAAACTTAGCAGCTAACATTCTAGAATGCAAGCAGTGGGTTAACAGGGAAATGTTATTAGTTCTTATACTTTATGCTAAGCTGCTGATCTTAACAGCTAACATTCTAGAATGCAAGCAGTGGGTTAACAGAGAAATGTTATATGTTGTAACTTTATATGTTAAGCAGCTGAACTCAACAGCTAACAGATTTGCTTTAAAAGCTTTATGTTATAAGTCAAGAACTTGACTAAATGCCCAAAAACAATTGATATCTATTTAAATTCCATGGTATTTCTGTTCAAGCTTCTTTCATTAATCTATATATTCCGTTAACATTTAGTTTTACACTTGTCTTTTTTTTATTCTTTCATTTACAGACATTGATAACGATCCCAATCGCGCTCCACCCTGCGATCCCGCTGTTTGCGTGCTGCCCGATTGCTTCTGCTCAGAAGATGGCACCTCGATTCCCGGCGATTTGCCCGCCAAGGATGTGCCCATGATGATCACGATCACGTTCGACGATGCCATCAACAACAACAACATTGAGCTCTACAAGGAGATGTTCAAGGGCCGCAAGAATCCCAATGGCTGCGACATCAAGGCCACCTACTTCGTCTCCCACAAGTACACCAACTACTCGGCAGTCCAGGAGACTTCGCGCAAGGGCCATGAGATCGCCGTGCACTCGATCACCCACAATGACGAGGAGCGCTTCTGGTCGAATGCCACAGTCGATGACTGGGCCAAGGAAATGGCTGGCATGAGAATCATTATTGAGAAATACGCCAACATTACGGACAATTCGGTTGTGGGTGTGCGTGCTCCTTATCTGCGCGTGGGCGGCAACAATCAGTTCACCATGATGGAGGAGCAGGCGTTCCTCTATGACTCGACCATCACCGCGCCCCTGTCCAATCCTCCACTGTGGCCCTATACCATGTACTTCCGTATGCCCCATCGCTGTCACGGCAATCTGCAGAGTTGCCCCACCAGATCCCATGCCGTGTGGGAGATGGTGATGAATGAACTGGATCGTCGTGAGGATCCTGCCAATGATGAATATCTGCCTGGCTGCGCTATGGTCGACTCCTGCTCGAACATTCTGACTGGCGATCAGTTCTACAATTTCCTGAATCATAATTTCGATCGCCATTACGATCAGAATCGTGCTCCACTCGGCTTGTATTTCCATGCTGCCTGGCTGAAGAACAATCCCGAGTTCCTCGACGCCTTCCTCTACTGGATCGATGAGATCCTGGCAAATCACAACGATGTCTACTTTGTGACCATGACACAGGTGATACAGTGGATGCAGAATCCACGCACCGTCAGCGAGGTCAAGAACTTCGAGCCCTGGAGGGAGAAGTGCGTGGTCGAAGGCAAGCCCGCCTGCTGGGTGCCCAACACCTGCAAGCTCACCTCCAAGGAGGTTCCCGGGGAGACTATCAATCTGCAGACCTGCGTCCGCTGCCCCAATAACTACCCATGGGTCAACGATCCCACCGGCGATGGTTTCTTCTAAGTCAGAGTGAGAGAGTGAGAGAGCGAGAGAGAGAAGAGCGAAAGAGTTAGTGCGTTAGCATTCAAGCAGCCCCAATCCAAATTCCTACAGTCACCCAAACAACTCGACTTTTATTATTTCAATATACTCAAGACTTTTTTATATATTGTACATTTTATTTTGACTGTGCCGCGTTTTCTCAGAACGCTACAAAAACGCGCACGGCTAAGTCTGCTGTGTTACGTTATTAAAAGAAAATGAAAATGAAAAGAAAGAAAAACAACAACAAACAAAAAGAACAACAAAAATTGACAAAAGACAACACAACAACAAAAAAAGCAAAACCTGTGTGTTTTTTTTTATATACTCATTTTTGTAGTTTTACGTTAATTTGTATGTGTATATTTAAAAAACAAAAAATTACCTAATAAAAAATAAAGTAAAACAAAATAAGAAATTAAAAAAGAAAAAAATACAAAAACAAACTTAAAACGAAACAAATGAAAAGTATATTTCATCATTTTGATTATTGTGATGCTAATCTTGGCTAGGCAGCAGCCATAAAAATGCTATTATAATGCACAAGATGAGTCGAGTCGAGTTGACTTTAGTTGAGTTTGGCAAGAGTTTCTTCTACCTGGCAACAGAGAGCTCTATGGCTGGCCAACAAGCAACCCAATTTGTGTGCGCTACCCACTGACTTACTAACCAGTTTTTCGTATTATCCCAACAACAACAACATCAAATTTGAATAACAAAACGCGTTTCTGATTTCGGTTTTCAGTTTCGATTTCAGTTTCATATGTAAATTTTCCTTCTTCTTCTTCTTTTTCTTTGATTAGTATATTTCGAGTGTTTCCTCGACTGGTTTGGATCGAACCGGTCTAGAATTAGGCATACTTAGCATAGAGTATATATTTATATGCATAATTTGTAGCCGAGCATATGAATATTAAGTTTAAGCTTATTAAAGATACTCTGCTTATTGTAGATTAGTTTAGTTTCTTTTAACCTTTTTTTTTTGTATCTTGTGCACTTTGCTTGCCGGCTATGGGTATGAAGCGGTTTTTTGGTCTGGCAACAGGTTCTTAATTCATATAGGGAATCTGGCGACAGGCTCCGCCGGCGCTTTGCGCAATCACAACAAATCACACAGTCGATAATTAATTTCAAGCATTGCGAATTTCGACTCTTGTCATGGAAATACCAAAGTTATATGCGTCTCCGCGCAAATTTATGTGGCTTACAAATGTTGCTAAATTGACTTTATGCGGTTATTCATATATATATATATATATAAATATATATTTGTGGTTTTTTTTTGTGATCTTTGATGCATGCATAAATTTTATCACCAGCCAAGGTGAGCCGCTTGCATTGAACGGCGGCGGGATTAACCGAAAAGACAACTCTAAAGATGAGCCACTTTTGACATGCTAATAATAATAAAATCTATACGAACTATACACTAATATAATTCAATATCTTTAGCTATATAATACAGGTCTTCAGCGCAAATATGGCATTGCCATACCTTACGCTGCGATAATCCTTAGATATTCCATCAACGTTTTGTTGCCTTACGAACAGCTCAGCTCAGCTCACTTATGCTCAGACACAGCTCTGTACTCGTACCTCTGTGTGTGTGTGTGTTTGCAAACTTTTACTCTTGTTAAGGTGAACTAGTTGTAAAGTGGAAGATTTGCATAAATCGTGCATGAAAAGCGAGCGCACAGTGGGACAAAATGCAAGACTTTTGCTCCATATGTAGCAGCTACATTTTAAGCTGTTAAGCTGGAATGCTTAGCGGCAGTATATGAATTAATAATATAAATATAATATATAATATAATATAAATATATAATAATATAAATATATAATATAAATAATAATATCAAAATAAAGTGTGTTAAAACGCGCACAGTGGGTCAAAGTGTAAGATTATTGAAAAAAAAAAAAATTTAAAAATTATTTATATATTCCAAAAAAGGCATTTTAAAATGCGCACAGTGATTCCAGAATTTTCAGTAATAATCTCGAAATTATTTATATATTCAAAAACAAACCATGTTAAAACGCGCACAGTGGTTCAAAGTGTAAAATTATTCACTGATATTCAGCAGAAACAAACTTAATTTAACTAGAATGTTTAGTAGTCAGCTCAAAATGATGTATATATTTAAAATAATGCATATTAAAACAAGCGCACAGTGGGTCAAAGTGCAAGACTATAGCCTTAGTATTCCTGATTCCTTTTGACATTCCAATACAAAATTGGAGTAGACTCTCGTTTATATGCTTACATATTCAGCCAAGGCAAGTCATAAGCTAGAAAACTGACTAAGAAATTCCACATAATTTATGTTTTTTTTAATGCTAAAAACAAGAATCGAGTAAAAATTAACATTTTATTTGTTGAAGCCACACATAAATCAATCTTTTCTAATCATTATTCAATGCATTTGCATTGGCTTTCAATCACTGTGCGTCCGCCTCCGATTGACATGGACGCCCTTGCCTGGCCGCAGATTCTTGAATCTGCTTCCTACTTCTGGGTGTGAGATTCGAGCTGGTCTGGTTAACCGGTCATCAAGTCGACAAACGTATGTCAGATGCCAGGCATCCAGTTAACTGAATTTAAATTTTACTGGCCAGACATGTTTTTTTTTCTGTTCAAGAAACGGAACACGGAGTCTGTGTTTAAGTGCCAATTTGAATTTTATGCATATCAAAAATTCGTAAAACGAAAAAAAAAGCAAACACAAATCGGAAATTAGAGTTGACAACTTATAAATTGACAGGTGCTACGGAAAGTTCAACGATTGCATAACAAAGAGAGCACTTTGTAGATCAAAGCAGCTGCACAAATGGAAATTGAAAAATAAACATTTAAATATTTCAGACATATTAAGCAGCGGCAACAGAAAGCGCCAGGCTGATCGCTATAGGGCCTTCGCTGGTCTTCACTTGCCATAAATTAAGCCAAGTTTGCTTTGGGAAGAGCATCGGCGAGAAAGGGAGTCCGCATTATGCAACTCATGTGGGTTTAATGGTTATGCATTTCTTTTACAGTCCAGAGTCTATAGTCTACAGTCTTCGGTTTACAGTTTACAGCTTACTTTTTACTGTTTACAGGCTCATCTTCATCTGGCCGAACATTTCCTTCATTAACAATTCCGTTTTGGTACAGTTTTCTTGATTCCGAATTTCTCTTTTGCCCATTTTCTCTCGATCAGCTTACGTCTTGCAGTTGCTGAAACTTTCGACCAGATTTGTGCGTAATTTGTACTTTTATTGATTTCACAAAAATTTACATTAAATTCAATTAAGTAAAAGCCGAAAATCATCTGCGATTTTTGCTAATTTTTTAATTTGCAACTTATATATGCAACTATAGCGACGACCATACGGTTCAAACCCAAATTAAAATAATAAAAAAAACACACACACACAAAAATCGAGGGCAAATAATTATGTAAATCCGTAAAAAAAGGTTTTCACTCGTCGAAAAATATTAATTTCAATGCCGAACGAGCGCTGGAGGTGCCATCATCAACATTTTCACTCTAATTGAAAAACCAGTTTAACAGTTGATTAAAAAAGAGTAATAATAATAATCAGCATGCTCGAATATGCTGGCGATTATGTGAACAAAGCTTCAAAAACCGTTGCCAGTTCAAATTGATTGTAACTATCAAAAGCGAAAAGAAAAGAAATGATGCAGAAGGCAAAAACTGCAATCAACATTTGCCAAAGAAGGTGAACAAGTTTTTTTGTGGCATCCTCCAACTGAGAGACACATACATATGTATATAGTATATATATCTAGACTGAATCACAGCTGTCGCACCCTTCACTGACGTTAATTGACAATGGCAATTAAAATGCAATTGAAATGTATCGCAATCTCAAGAATTATCCAGCAACAAATCACGCATACGCCATGCTGGCCGGCTTACATTTTGTATTTTATAAGTCTACCGTATTCTAGTGCCAGACAAACTTGTTTTCAAGTTCAGGAAATAGCTGTGCAGCAAGGCACACATATATATGTAGCCATTCTTTTCCAGATCAAGCCTGAGGCAGCTACATGTTCTAGAACAGAAAGGTGTTCAGGAAAAATGTCTTGAAAAATAAAATCAATTACAAAAAAAAATATATATATAAATATATATATATATATATAAATATTTATATATATCTATATGCTGTTTTTCTAACAGCATTTATAGTATTTGTGGCTACCTTCAATTTAAATTATTTATATTTTGCCAATCCGTCATCAGTTTCTATTTTGTTCCTTCCCAGCCTGAGATTTGCAAGTCAAATATTTGCCGAATGCCAAAAGAGTTATCGAGCAGAATCCAGTATGCAGATATTCAGCTTAGCTTACTTACTTAAAAAAATGCGTAAACAAAAGGAATAAATATTTGCTACAAATATGTATTTTTGTCAGCGAATTCGGGTGTTTACTAATTGCCTGCTGAAAAAATTAACTTCAACAAAAGGCTTTTGAGTTGGGCCAATGCAAATATGAGATCATGCAAATTAAATGGATTATATATATGTTATGCATGCATAAGTCAATAATAAATATGAATGAAAATATGTATAAAAATATCCAGTCTAATCGGACAATAGCAAAATAAATAATTTAAACTAACAAGAATCCCATCAAACAAGATAATAAAATATGAAAAATGAATTTGTTTGGTAAAACCAAAAATACAAAATCTAAATACATAATTCAATATTTTCTTCTTGTTTCATTATAATAATCCCTAAATTACATAACATCAATTGACATTAAAATGAGCGCAATCTTTGGGTTTGGCTGTATCAATTTCAGATCCGTTTGGACTTTTATTTTACTTTATTTTTTGCGCATGAACAGACCAAGCACATCTCAGCGTATCAGCGTCATCTGGTACGAGCTCTTAACTTATTGAATAACAGGCTGGTTCCAGCCAGCACACTTGGCCCTCTGCATATCTTTACATAACCAGACGGGACTGCGAGGCTGGGGCTGAACGAGCGCATAATCAATTTGCCATTAATTAAAAATTTCGTGATCTGCAGCGCAAGAAGACAAAAATAAATAAATAAATAAATGAAAACAAACAAGAAAAAATAAAAAATAAAACTATTTAAAGGTAAGTCGAAGGCGCGTGAGTCAGCGACAGTTAAAGTGTCTCCACTTAGTGCTGGAAGTTACTGGACGGACGGTGGAGTCAACAGGCGGTTTATTAACCTTTTTTTTTTCTTTCATTTATTTTTTTTTGGTCGCCTGCTGTCTTAGCCACGTTAACAAGAATTTAATGTGCTGTTTGTGAGCCGAATGCGCAATTCATGGGCAAAGCGGCTCAAGCGAGCCGTTAAAATGCAGATGGTGTGACAATGTCTAACCACTTGCCATGCCACACGAGTGTGGGTGAAAATAAAAAGTAACTCAAGCAGCAGCAGCGGCATCAACAAAACGCACGTTCAGCCATTCAACAGTTCAACCGAAGCCATTAAGAACACAGCTGTCGACTCTCAGTTGCTCTGCTCCTAGATAAAGCATAGATCAAGATCTTTGGGAACACATTGAACAGGAATAAAAAATCTATAAAATTAATTAAGGAATTTAAATTTAGAGTTTCAATTTTTCTCATTTGCATTCCTTGCTCGCATGCCAATATACCCTGTTCAGCTGCGTTTACAGTGTATGCAAACAGTTACGAAATCGAGATTTAGAGTTGTGCGCGTCACTTCTTAGAATCATAAGATGACAGCGTAGCCGAAGGCACAATTTCAGGGTCAGTCTATGATGGATGTGATTGCTGTGATTGATTTGATTTATGCAGCTGAGTTGGCAGCTTTGGCAAAGGTGTAAGCGCAGCGCAATGTGAGGTGCAGCAGCAGACACTGGCACCCACATATGCCACACCAAAAGCAACTCACACCTGCGGCCAAGCTAATTAACCTTTCTTCAAACACGCACACACACACAGACACATCGACACGCCGACTGCGACAGCGCTTAAGCTGCCTTGGCATTTTCGAAATGGATTCCACAAACTGTTGTCTTTTTTACCCCTTCAAAAGCTCTGCAAGCGGCTGCGCCGGCGCCGTCGCTGTCGTCGGCTCGAAACTCACCACACCGCCTAAAATGGCGACACACACCACAGCTTAATAAATAGAACTCGTTGCGCATGGACAACACCTAGTGTAAGCGTGGCTGTGTATTGGAAGAGTGCCCTCTGTTCACTCGACTACCTCAGTCCAACGTCGTATCAATATTTGCTGAGCACTAAAAGTAATACCAAGTTTCCAATACAGACAGACGAGCACATACCTATCTCCGCACCCTATATAATTATTCAAGTGCCCATTTGAAGTGTGTTGTTTGCTAATTTATGGTTTTTTGTTCGATTTCTTCGATTTGCAGCCAGCGCTGGTTTCCGAACATGGCGCGTTGGTGGCCATTTGTGAGCATTTTGCTCGTCTGCTATGTAGCTGGTAAGTAGCAAAGATCTCTCTTTATTTATCATACATAAATACATGTTTAAGTTAGAGTTGGCCACGTTGGCTGACCTTTACCAGCTGAATGAGCAGCGAATAAATGATTTTTTTTATATAAATTTGCAACTCAAACGACAAAACAAAAGAAATATTTGCCAGCCTCGGTCGTTGGCCAAGGCAAATAAACTTGAAAAAAAAGAGAAGTGTTAACTATTAACCACATGCAACGGCCAGCTGCCGAGGATAGTGGATCAGTTGTTATAGCGAGCTAATGTAATTTCCTGAGTGCAAAAGAGGAAAACCAGAAATCAAAAACAAAATGTAAAAGAAAAGAAACTGTGGCAAGAGACCAAGAGCTGGAGCCGGAGCTGGCCATAAAATAAAAATTAGCATAAGCAACTTTTAATACGATCGCGTTTGGTTTCGTTTTTGTTGTTTTTTGGAGGCGACAACTCCAATGTTGTTTATGCAATACCTTTTTTAAGTTGAACTGCAAACGTGTTTTCGCCTGCTGCCGCCACAGCAGCAAAAGCCATTAGCCAATACATAAACCAGTTTTACGACAGCAGCAGCAGCAGTAGCTACACCTTACGATGTAAACAACAGGCTCCATTAGTGGACGTCACTCACTTACACTTGCGGCTATCGCCATTTCGCTTGCCCTTTCGTTTGCCCGAGAGCTGCAAGATAAATCTAAAAACTAGCTAAGCGAAACAAAAACGAGAGTTGTTTGACTTTTAGAAGTCGTTGAGACTAAACCGGTTAGCCGGAGACTCAAAAAAAAAAAAAATAAGAAATAATAAAAGAAAACGAAAACAAGTGCGAACAGGCTATAAATGCTAAGAGCTGTCGATTAGCTGTAATTATGCACATAATTAAATAATGACAAGATAACAGCTGCCAAATTAATAAAACAAAAGCAACAACAAAATCCATGTATTTACCAAGAAATCTTTGAAAACAATTTAACACAGAATTAGCATAGTAAAATCAATTAAAATAGAAATTCTGAGAATTCAAAAAACTTAGTTAGCCTTAAAAAAAAATGTAAATTAAATTAAAAATAGCATAAAAAATAATTTTAATAAATTCATATTTCTGATAGATTCTTGGAAATTTAAATAACTTTTGAAAATATTTTAGTTAATTAATTATATATTCTAATAATTATTAATTTTTTTTTAATATTATTATTAATATATTTTTATTTTTATCAAAATATATGATTCAATTTTAAAAAATTGTTCACTTTATACTTAAACTAAATATAAATAAAAATAAAAATAAATAAAAAGAAATAAAAAAATTATTTTAAAATAATTATAAATGCTTCAAAATAATAAAAAAAATTCGATAGAAGTATAAAAAAATATAAGAAATCTATAGGATATCTTATACAATTATCATATTAATTATAAAATAAATAACTCAAAAATAAAAAATTTAATTAATAATAAAAACAATTCAAATAAAATTGAAATTTCTTTAAGAAAATTATATTTTGTCAGCATTTAGTAATTCGTATCTTTCTTTCGCCCACTTAGCACAAGACGATAGTGTAGATGTCGAAAGGGAATGTTCCGATCGTCCCGCTGATGAGTACTTCCGTCTGAACACGGAAGGCGATTGCCGTGAAGTGTACAGGTAAGCGTTTAGGCTAAGACGCTCAGAATGAAACATGTTGTTAAACACTCTTTCACGTTGAATGATATTTTGTTTGGGGATATTGTTTTGTTTTCACACGAACAAAAATTGAATATGATATATATAAAAATAATAAATATGAAAAATAATAAAAATAAAGGTGCGATAATGGCCGCGAAGATGGCAGCAAACGCTTGGCACCGATCCGCTGTGCCGCCGGCTTGGCGTTCGATGTGTTGCGTCAGCTCTGCGACTGGAAGTCGAACGTTAAGAATTGTGATGTCAAAGAAAGTAAGTGGGGTGTGTCCGCGCCAGCCATTGAGCTCAGTGCCCAAAAGTATACTTCAAAGAGCTCGCCTCTGTGCCACCCAAAAACTCTCTCCTACACACTCTCTAACACTCTGTTCTCTATCTGTGTATCTGTCTCTCTGTCTCTCTATCTATCTATGTGTGTTGCGCAGCTCATTTTGTGTTATTCTGTAACTAAAAAAGCCGAAAGTCATTGCATTTGTTCAAACCAAACAATAAATAAACAAACCCAATCCAAGCCCCACTCCAATAAACAAAAAAAAAGAAACAAATGAAAAAACATTGCCAAAGTTCTGTTAGCTAGCAAAGGGGCAATATAGCTGAGGGAATTGCAAAGCAAAGAACCACAAGCAAAGAGTCAAGTCAAAACCAAAAACCAACTTTATTTTTTAGATGTACTAAGTCGGGCCTTAAAGAAATTCAGTGCCCCTCCGGCTTGGCCTTTGATTTGTATAAGCAGACCTGCGACTGGAAGGCCAAGGTGACTAACTGCGATGAGAAAGAGAGTAAGTGCCCTGACACACAGCCAAACAACACACTTGTATATAGCACTTGGACAGCAACATACATATAAGTGTATATATGTGCGATCTCGCATCTATATATACGTAGATATAGTGAACTTTGGAACAACAACAATAACAACACTCCTAACCGCCCTCACACAGTCACGTGCATACTTCTCACTTCAAAATTTAGACATTTGTTGTCACTAACACGCCACAACCGCCGCAACTGTGTCATTTGCCGAGCTCTAACTGTGCTTTGTATTTGATCAATTTAGGGCCACGCAAGGCGAAGCCCATACTGAAGACAGATGAGCCCATCTGCCCCGATGGCAAGCTGTCCTGCGGCGATGGCGAGTGCCTCGACAAGGAGCTCTTCTGCAACGGCAAGCCCGACTGCAAGGATGAGTCCGATGAGAATGCTTGCTGTAAGTGTTCACGTGTCCGTGCTCCCACTCTGACTTGTGGCTAACTGTTGTTGGTCTCCACTTTACAGCTGTCGATGAGGATCCCAATCGTGCGCCAGAGTGCGACCCCACGCAGTGCGCTCTGCCCGATTGCTTCTGCTCGGCTGATGGCACACGCATTCCCGGCGGCATTGAGCCCCAGCAGGTGCCGCAGATGATCACGATCACGTTCAACGGCGCCGTCAATGTGGACAACATCGACTTGTACGAGGACATCTTCAATGGCCAGCACCAGAATCCCAATGGCTGCTCCATCAAGGGCACCTTCTTCATCTCGCACAAGTATACAAACTATTCGGCCGTTCAGGACTTGCATCGTCGCGGCCATGAGATCTCGGTCTTTTCGCTGACGCACAAGGATGACCCCAACTACTGGACAAGCGGCACCTACGACGATTGGCTGGCCGAGATGGCTGGCTCTCGTTTGATTGTGGAACGCTTTGCCAACATCACCGATGGCTCCATCATTGGCATGCGCGCTCCCTACCTGCGTGTGGGTGGCAACAAGCAGTTCGAGATGATGGCTGATCAGTTCTTTGTGTACGATGCCTCCATTACCGCCTCGCTGGGCCGTGTGCCCATCTGGCCATATACCCTGTATTTCCGCATGCCGCACAAGTGCAACGGCAATGCCCACAACTGCCCATCGCGTAGCCATCCCGTGTGGGAGATGGTCATGAACGAGCTGGATCGTCGTGATGATCCCACGTTCGACGAATCGCTGCCCGGTTGCCACATGGTCGACTCCTGCTCGAACATCGCCTCTGGCGAACAGTTCGCGCGTCTGCTGCGCCACAATTTCAATCGCCACTACAACAGCAACCGTGCCCCACTCGGCCTGCACTTCCATGCCTCGTGGCTCAAGTCGAAGAAGGAGTATCGCGATGAGCTGATCAAGTTCATCGAGGAGATGCTGGGACGCAACGATGTGTTCTTCGTGACCAATCTGCAGGTCATCCAATGGATGCAGAATCCCACAGAGCTCAATTCGCTGCGCGACTTCCAGGAATGGAAGGAGAAATGCGACATCAAGGGCCAGCCCTACTGCTCCCTGCCCAACGCCTGCCCGCTGACCACGCGCGAGCTGCCCGGCGAGACTCTGCGCCTCTTCACGTGCATGGAGTGCCCCAACAACTATCCCTGGATCCTCGATCCCACTGGCGATGGCTTCTCTGTTTAATCTGCGGCCAGAGCTTCTCTCACTTTCTAATTTCCTTCCCAAAAACAAAAAACAAAAACTAAAACAAAAAAAAACCAACAAGAGAACAACGCATTAGTAGTTCAACCGAGAGTCTGATAAACTAAACACAAAACCTACACAAGCAATAAATTTTAAATCTATGTAACTTCTATATCCCTCTGGCCCTCAACTTGGCCACTATCTTGGCCGCAATCTCAACTCCCTAACCGCCTTTATCTATCTGCCTCTTTTATTTATGCAAATCATCTTTCTTCTCTTTATTGCTGCTTTTTTCTTGTGTATTTCTTTTGACTTTTCGACTTTTCGACTTTTCTCCCAACTTTCTACTTTCATAACTCGACTTTTTCAACTCTGTTTCATTTTCTATTGATTATGTTGAATGATAAAGTGATTTGTTTTAAATTAACGACAAAACAAAAAGCTTAAAAAATGAACAGCAACAGCAAACGCTGCTACTTTGTTATATTAAAATGAAAAACAAAAACAATTTTCACAAAAAACCGCGCCAAAAACTCGCAGCAGCTAAAATTCTTTGTAATTATATAAGTATTTTTTATAAGAAAAATATAAAAAATATATTAAAAAAAAAAATAAACATATTTTTGTAGTTTTCATTTCATTTGACAGATGTCACACGAGAGGCGGAAAATTGGGCTTGTTTTTCAGCAAAGGAGTTTCCAGAGTGGCTTTCTCTATCTCTGTCTCTGTCTCTCAATCAATTTATGTATATATTCATATTATATATTTATACCTAAAACTTGCTACTAATCGATAACTTTTTCCGCTTTAAGGAACTCGTATCGATCTTCAGTTCTTAAGTCAAATCTCTGGCATCTTTAAAGCTAGAGTCTTCAAATAAAACATTCACTTTCCTGTATATCTTATACAATTTTTGATTTATTTTATAATTTGGATATCAAAGAAAACACATATTGGACGGGTATCTTCTAGTCGGGCATTTCTGGCCAAAGCACACTTCTTCATATATGAATTAAAGTAGGAATAATCACGATGGCTTTGAAATATATTTTATCTAAAATAATATCTTCATACTTTAGACTAAGAATATATGTTTTTTCACACGAGTCAGAAGTAGACGTTTTTCACAGTAAGGAAATTCATATTTGTATATGAATATAGCAAATATATAGGAACACGAGTAACTTAACCGCAGAACAGAGTACCAAAGATGAACAGCCGAAATTTGTATTGTTTCTTATTATTTAGCTTATTGGTAAGTGAAGTCCATATAAAGACATATTTTTATTTATTTAAACGTGTTCCTAAGATTTTTAACATACCTGAGCTGGTTTCTCAACCGGTGCCAGATAACACAACTAGCTCTAATAAGCAATTAGGCGTCCATCAATTGTCCAAAAATAAAACTCTTGTGCTCTTCCCGACTGCCGAGGCGACTGTCAGCTCCTCAGCCGGGAATTTTACACTAAAAGTCAAATCTGTCACAGCAGCGCTTGACAAGCTTGACAATGCGCAAACCGAGGACATCATTGAATTGCCCAAGCTCATCAAGGATAATCGTGGGCATTGGGTGTATAATCCGTGGCCAGTCACATTCGGCAATCGCATTCTGGACACTAGATTCACCAAGAGCCAACCATATGTCCACATCAATGTGGTCTCCAATCCGAAACGCTTCTATGATCCCCAGACCGACATGAGCACCGTTTGCATGGGCTCCACCATTCCGCACGGCGACTTCAAGGTGAGCAGGTGGATGGATCGACATATCTACAGGCACAGGCAAATAAGTCAAGCATTCTACATGCAATTGCGACGGGATGTCTACATCAATGGCAAATCCGAGATGTGCCATGACAAAAAGTATAGCAAATGGATGGACTATCAGCAGTGCGCACTGCGGCGCAATCAACGCTTAGAGTCGTATATACCGCAGTATCCGTTGCATCAGCTGGTCAGGGAAAATAGTTAAGACAGTCGAGAAAGTCTCCTATTTAACAGAATTTTGCATACGTATTTTATAAACTGTATTAAACTGTTCAACTCAGCACCATATTCAAGCGTAGCCTCTGCTGGTAGATGCGATGTCAATTACTGATTGATGAAGGAGGATTGATGATGAGTATCGGCTGGCAAACTCAGGGAACTGATCAAGAGGCCAAGGGAATCGCAGTCAGTCTGTGATGATTGCATCACTGGTTGCAAATCTGATTGAAGATCAAGTTTCATTAGTGATTGAAGCAACATTGAATAGTAGAATTACTGAAAAAATGACCATTTGGAACTGATTGAATGACTGATGGATAACTGGGAAATGGATTGATTGAATGATGGAATAAATAACTAATGAAATAAGTGATTGACTGAATAAATGGATCATTGATTGAATAATTGATTGAATATGTTATTGATGACTGATTGAATAGCTGATTGACTGACTGAATGCCTTATTATGTGACCAATAGCTGCATAAATAAGTAATTGAATGAGTGATTGATTCTAAAGCAGAATTAATGACTGATCACTGACAACTGATTGACTGACTGATTGAATAGCTGATTGACTGACTGAATACCTTATTATGTGACCATTAGCTGAGTGAATATGTAATTGAATGACTGATTGAACTGATGGCATTATTGATTAAATTAATTTAAATCACTGACTGATGACTGACAACAGATTGAAGGACTGATTGACTAATAAAACAAGCCAATCAAGAACTGACTAATTGACAGTCTTATTGACCAATTCATTGGCTGAAAGATAGGAGACTGACTGATTGACTGACTGACTGGATAATGTTCCTTTTTCCAATTGGGAAGAATACGTTTTATACCCATTAGTAATTCACACGTTTCCTTTCTCTTCCTGCCAGTCTGATTGGATTTGTAGTCTAAGTAAATTAAAGGCTTTGGTAATAATTTTTTCATGCACTTTATTCTCAATATCATGCGGCTATTATGCCGTGTTAGAAGCTATAAAGTTTTTGTTTTGTTTTGTTTGGTTTTGGGTTTCGATAGTAATAATATTAAACTATGCATATTGAACCAAGTGTGGAGAGAGCGAAGCGTTCTGCAATTAGAGCCACAGACGCACTTGTTGATCCCAGCTGGTCGAGGCTAGGCACATGCCATTGGGGCACAGGCTGATGCAAGTTATGCGATTCTCATGCCCGGACAGCGTGCCTGCAGAGAGCAAAGACAGAAATCAATACAAGTCCAAAGAGAATTGAAGCCATCGACGTTTGCCACCTACCCGTGTGCCGTTGCTTCATTGCGTCCCACGAGTGAACGTTGCCCTCAATGCCGGCGCACAATAAGTAGCGACCGCTGGTCGACAGAGCTAATGGGCACAAAATCAGATTAAAAGTCGTCTAAAGTCAAGGCGAAAACAGCGCAGGCGAAAGAGAACAGTAAGAAAAGAAAAAAACAAAATACGCACCGCACGATGTGAAGCCCGTGTTCTTTTGGGGCGGCTCATAGAGTCCGATTTGTTGGTCGGCACGCAAATCATACATGCGCGCTGTCTGATCCTCCGAGCAGGAGGCGAAGCCAAAGCCGCTTGGATGATACTGAAATGATGTAATAGTGGCATCACAATCGAAGTAAGTGGAGAAAAACTTACGCAAACGGACGACACGTCCATGTCGTGACCGAAGAACATTTGCTTGTGTCCCTGTTCGCGTACATCCCACAGCTTGGCAGTTTTGTCCACTGAACCGGTTATATACGTGTTCATATCGGGCGACAATGAAAGACCAGCAATATCGCCAGCATGTCCATTGAAGTCCATTGTCTTGACACCCTTCTCCAAGTCCCAGTGACAGCTGTCGTAGATAATGGATTAGTTTAATGAGAAAGTGTATAATTAATGTGTCAACTAACATTTTCATATCACCCGATCCCGTGATCAAGTGGCCATCGTCCAGAAAACGACATGAGCTCAGAAAGCCCTCGTATCCAATGAGTTCTCGAACCATCTTGGCCACGCCGGATGCGTCTCGATTGTTCACATCGTAGACGGTGCATTGATTGTCCATGCCACCGCAGGCTACAAAGTTGCCCGATGGCGAAAACGCCACGGTCATTACCCAGGCGGAGCGCAAGGGTATAATCTGCACCTTGTTCGCTGTCCAAGTGTCCCAAATAATCAATTTGCCATCCAAAGAGCCAGTGACACAGTGGCGGGAATCGCCAGCAAAATGCACCGAGTTGACCTTGTTGATGTGACCTTTCAATATCTTTTTCGAAGAGAAACGTATTTTGGGCACATCGCTCATGTCACCGCATTTCTCCCCCAATGTGCAATCCGCCTTCGACTTTTGATCATCCTGTCCGAATGCAAAATATTAATTAATCATTTTTAGCCCAATTTGTATTACATTTTATAAAGATTAACCTTAAACTTTTGTATCATGCCATTGATCTCGTCGTAAAGTTGTTGGGTTTCTGGATCAATTTTCGGCATGATTGCGCATCAAATAACTGCGACAGCAAAATATTTCAAATAACCGTTACGATCCAGTCGACCAATCAAGAACGCGTCGCGATGCAAACTAATGTCGAAATAAATATTTAACTTACACTGTTATGATGATTTCATTGCATTGCTTGAGACGGTAATGCAATTAACTAATTGGATTAGTTGGTAAGGCGAAAGCAAATACGAATTTTAAGGAAATATCCAAAACTTGCGCGCGTATTACAAACACTCACTCGCGCATGCGCATTAAGCAGAACTGCCAACTCTTAACACTGCAACACTGTAAAGAAATGTTAACAGCACTGCTCCTCACTCCTCAATTGTAAACGTTTCATTAGCATTTTATTCATTGACTTTATTAATATTTAATAATCAAATTAATTGTTTGTCATAGAATAATAAAAAATGTTAAGTAATTAAAAGCTATGTGATCACAGAATTACGAAATTCTGCTAATACTTTCCGTATTCGATATATATCGATAAGAAATCGACATCAACGCACAGATGTTAAGCGTGCAATTTAACAGCTGTTCAGTCACAAAAAGATCTTGGGACCACAAGGATTTGCTTTTATTTTTAACAATTAACACAACACCCGCCAGCCGCCAAAAATGGAGCAGAGGCAGAGGCACTAAGATTCAAGCGTATTATGGAAACACTACCATGTGCCAGCGAAGTGGCACATATGACGGAACAGCAAACTGAATCCATTGTAAACATAAAACGCATTTCGGTGCCCTTTGGAAATCAAAGTTTGATGGACACGGACATGGCCAAAGCTGAGGATGTCACGCATTTGCTGAAACAAAAGCCACAGCATACGGAAACTCTTGTTAGCGTCTCAGGCCAGTCCCACCTTGCAAATCTCGGCAGTATCGACAGCCTCTGCGAGAGTGTGGTTAATATACCTAAGGAACTGATTCTCATTTCAATGGTGGCTCAAGAGCAGGCGCTCTACAATCCCAAGAATCCGCTCTATCGCAGCACAAAGAGCAAGGATGAGAAATGGAGTGAAATTGGCACTCACGTGGGCTGGACAGGTAAATTGGCAATTGAATAACATCTAAATAGAAATCAAGCTTAATTCTATCAATTCAATCTATGAACAGATACGCAATGCAAGGCCAAGTGGAAGGCAATGAGGGATCAATATTGCCGCGAGCTAAAACGCGCCAAAGCTAATACCAAAGGCAACGTCAAGTGGAAGTACTTTAAGGATCTCGACTTTTTGCGTCCCTATGCGTTGGCACGCAAGTAAAACGAACAAATTTTCATTTTATTTATATATTATCTGTAGCTATCTCCATATTCCAGCTATCGCTCTCGTGGATCCCAAAATAGCAATGGCATTTTGACGGCTATAACGCTGCCAAACATTACCACGACAACAACAATTACGAACAGCAGTAACAACAACAGCACCAACAACAATTCATTTAGCAATAGCAGCAGCAACAGTCAAAATCTTAATTTGTCTGCTGAGACAACCAAATTTGCCAGCATCAAAATCGAGGATAGAAACGGTTCGCTCTTGGAGACCTGTAGCTTCGTGCCAACAGCAACAACAACGGTGACAACAGCAGCGACGAACGCAGTAACGCTTGATAAGAAACCGGATACAACGCGTGGCCTAAGCACTTTTGTAGTTAGCCATATGATACAACACCAGCAGCAGCAGCAGCAGCAGTCACAGCAGCAGGATACCAATTGGAACTATATAACCGATGCAAGTGGCAATGGCGTTGGCTCGGCCACATCAATTACAGTTACCTGCGAGACACCGAATCAATCGGCTAGCGATACGCTGTACAATGATTTTGTGGATTGCGTAAATGTTGGCAGCGTTGTGAACCAATCGTCCACGCACAATCATCAAACGAATGCGGATGAGGAGGACGATGATCCCATACACACATTTCTCAATATCGAGAGCTACTTTGAGAAGGAGCTGATCATGCTGATACAGCAGGAAGATATGATCTACAACTATAGCAATCAAAACTATCGCAATGTCAAACTAAAGCTGGAAGTCTGGGATGAGATAGCACGCAAGCTTAAAAAGCCAGGTTAGTCAAACGATTTTATCTATTTCCTAATATATTATTTAAAATATATTATATATTATTCAGTCAAGCAATGTCGGGGGAAATGGAAGGCTTTGCGGGACCAATATGCACGGGAGTACAAGCGCATAAAAACACAGCTGAATGTCGACGTCACATCGCGATGGAAGCACTATGACTCTCTAAGTTTTCTACAAAAATATATACAACAAAAGTCACTGTAAGTAGTTGATATAGCAGAGATAACATGATTTTTATCATACCATTCGCAGAGACGGGGACGCATTGAATATGCTGATACCCAAGCATGATCCTGTTGCTGAACTGGAGGAAAATATGACCCAATCGCCATTGCGGCATTCCGAGCCACAGACGAGTAACTTGGAAGCATCGCCAGGTAGTTCATCTCAGCTAAATATGTCTACACTGCCAACGCTAACGGGACCACACAAAGCCGAACTTTCCGTCACAATGGAGCAACAGCAACAGGAAGTGCAGCAGCCCAGCGAACTGTGCGTGGCCAGCTATGATGAAATGGATATAGAAAACTATATAAATGGAGATGTGGTGCATGATGAAGACGATGAAAACGACAATGAGGACATGGACACGACGACAACATCGGAACAGCAAACACAGCAGCAGCAGCAGCAGCAGCAACAACAACAACAACAGCACCATGTGGTTAGCTATGAAAATGAGGAGGATTCGGTTTATATGACCGTTGAAAGCGTTAGAAACGCGCTGTCCAAATCGGAGCAACTGAACGAAACGGGCAGCAGCTTGGAGCCGCAGCAGCTGCAGCAACAACTACAAACGGCTAGCGACTATACACAAAAGCTGGAGGTGCATACACCCACGTCGACCAGCACACGATATCAAAATGCAGCTAATACACCATCAACATCTAGTCAGGCTGTCTTTCCGCTCGGCGGCTGTTCTATGGCTGCGGAGGAGGATGAAATTGGGGCCTTTTTCAAGGCCGTTGCCATGAAAATACGCAATGCACAACTGGAGCCGGTGGCTTTTACAGATCTGCAAATCGATATACTGCGGGTCATCAATGAAGCGCTGCGTAATCACTAGGAGTTCATCACTAGTGAAGGACGCGATGAGAGAAAGATCTCGATGGACCCCCAAATATGGTTTCAATACGTTGCGCGTTAGTAGCTCTTAAGTGTTATTTGAAGCATGTCTCTTCTGAATTATTAACTTGATTTATGATTTATCCTTGTCATATTTAAATTTGCCCCAAACACACACACACACATTTACACCAACAACGAAAGAGTTACTTTTTGTACATAGAAAACTGTAATGTTGTAAAACTTTAGTGTGCTTCCAGTTAACAGAACTGGAACTAAAATACAAAATTCTTAGAAGTCCCATATAACGAAAAAAAAACATAATGTGTACAATTACGAAATGGAACAACAATATAGTGAACCAAGAATATATGTATATATTTTACAAAAGAAAATCGTGTTTGTTTAAAGTTAGAATTATCTTGTTGAAATTGAAGCAAAAAGAGTCTATCTTCAACTCGAAATATGATTACGATGCTTTATTCTAGAACTATATATACCATATACAAACCTTCCCTCAGCTACCAGTAATAGCACGAACACTTAACTACCTCACTTGAGCTCCATTTGCCAGGGTATGTAAAAATCAATGCAGCTGACACTCAGCAGTTGATGTAGCCCTCTTTCAGCTTGCTTTGAACGTGGGCGCTGGCTGCCTTTGGTCTCTGTTTGCAGCATCTGTGCACAAACATTTGGACAACTGCTGAGCAACGCAGCGAACTGGAGTTGCCGCCCAAGTGGAGCACTTGCGCAGACCACCCAAACCCGCCGACAGTTGGCTATGTTTATGTGGCACACGGCGTATGTGGTATATAGCAGCGTACAACAGTTGCTGCTCTTATTTGGCCAGCCGCACAGCTGGCACTGAAACATGGCTGCTCCTTGGCATTGGCCAGCGGCTTGCGAAACGGGCAGAAACCGGTTTAGCTGCTGCGCCCAATCAGCTACCAGCGCAAGCGAGACGACACTACACTACCTATGCAGTACATAGAGCGCACTGGGGGCGGGGCCAACGCCATATGGCGGCGCATTGGGTGTGGTTACTTAGCCAGCAGCAGGCGCAGCTGCTGCAGCGACAGCTACTGAAATGCCAAAATCTATGTAAAAGTGAAAATTTTTAATAAACATTTTCATTTTCAGGCGGAAGTTCGAACCCATTGAAAGCTAATCAAACGACGAGCAGCTCGATAAACGGAACCTCTCGCCATTTGGTAGCCACGCTTGATTGATTTCCTTCAGTTATTTGTTTTTGCAATTCATTTGCATTTCAGTTCTCAATGGTTGAGTGCGCGAGTTTTAATTAAATCAAATATGGGCGTGGGCGGACTGGCAGGTACCACAAAATTATGGCCTAATCATATATGGGGGAGATTTCAATTTTGAATTGCAAATGACATTCATATGCTTAGCTCAAATGATATGAGCTTCAATTAACTTGGGCTTTAATATTTCTGATTGAAGTCGAGTCTTTAGTTGTGGCATCAGCTCAAGCTGTAATATGTGTGGCAAAGTTTGGTGGAAAGGAATCCTATCTTAAGATGGTGGAAAGAGGGAGGAGATATTTCTCAAGTAATTTAGTTTATATTTAGTCTATATAGACTCTTGCAAGTTTATTGAGCTCCTTTAAGTCTAATTATTCAACTATTCCTATATTCATTATGTTGTAAAGGTATAAATATTTTTTAAATATATTACTGCTTAATACTCTTGAAATTATTGCTATATGTATTGAGCTTATCTTAGTTTATTATTTTATTATATTAAATTATTTAAAATCATATCATAATCATATTAATGATTTCTAGAATGAATATTTATGTAGAGCTCATAGCCAAGCTATTGTTAGCTTCTTTTTCTTAGATCAAGTCTTTACAGTTAGATATTTAAAGATTTAGACTTATGTTTTTCGATGGATTGAAACATATATCGATCTATAAATCAAACATCGAATTTCGTATCATTTTGATTATACCAAAATTATGACCTTATCCTCATTAAAAATATCAAAATAAAAATATTTTAAAATATTTTAAAATATATTTAAAATTTATTTTTAAAATAAATTGATTGACTTTTCTCATTTTCCCACTGAACTAATAACATTTAAGTTTCGCTGACTTCATATACTATTTCCACATATTACTTTATTTAAAAAAAATGTTATAAAATATTATATAAAAACTGATTTCTCTGCAGACGGTTCACCTTTCCTGTTGTGGCGTTGCAAGTTTCTTCTATGCGCCCTTTGCCACTTGCCGCTCAATCAGCTGAGCTTAAGTGAAAACTCAGAGCTTTAGCATTTGGCGTTTGGCAAGCAATTTTCAAGACGCTGCGACGGAAACTATTTTCGCGGCTCATTTAACGGGCTTTTAGCCAGCAGGCAGATAGCTGGAAAAAAATCATAAAAAATATGAAATATATATAAATATTTTTTATGGCCTGCGGGTAAGTGTGTTACACGGTTAAAGCAATTTACGACGATTGCGAACATGCCTCAATGCATCCACGCCCACAAATTGTGTCCTGCATGTCCTGCGGGCAACTTGGAAGATGGCAAAGATTGTTGAATCTGCTTCTACGTGTGCCATTTGAGCAGCTGTTGTGGGGCAATGCACTCTTAATGGGCAAACTCTGCGGCTGCTGCTGCTGTGGTTACAGACTAGATACAGATATATACATATATATATTTAAGATTCATTTCCTGGGCTGTGTCGCACTTTTCACTTGCAAAAATTGATTTAACCTGAAATGAAAGCCTCCAGCTTTGGGTCGAGTTGAGAGAGAGAAAAAAAGGCTCACAACGAAAGTCGGCGACAAAATGCTGACAAACTGCGGCGGTTGGCCACTGCAACTGCGACTGTGTGGAAACTGTTTGGCTGTTATCATAAATAAAGAGCGCCAAATGTCAAACGTTGTCCGGGTTATAATATCATAAACTAAATGCAAGTGGCGCAGAAATCAAACATGCAACATTTCGAGCATTCGAACAATTCACGATTTATTGGCCATGTTCATAATGTTGCGACTGCCAGCGACAGCGGCCCGAGAGCGGGCCTGCACTTTTTAAACTGAATTGTTTCCGGGAACTGTTGCTCCAACACCAACAACAATGGCACACAACAGCAACAGCAACAGCAACAGCAGCAACAACAAAAACGAAGCGCTGAAAAGCTTGTAAAACATTTGTAGCAACTGCTGCTGCTGTTGCTGTTGCTGCTGCTGCTGGCAGTTCGCAGTTCGATTCAATTGCGATGCCAAGGCGGCTGCTATTGCTACTGTGGACCACGTTCACCCAGCCAAAATGTTTTATTCATAAAGCAACAGCAGCAGCAGCGACAAGATCATCGCCGTTTGTTGCTTTTGAGTGTCCGCTGGCTGCTAGCTGCTAGCTGCTAGCTGCTGGCCACATCCAGTTGCAGCTCCTGTTCCTGTTTGCTGTTGCTTGCTGGCCCAGCCGTCGTCGGCCTATGCTAATTTCAAGCAAACTTATCAGACGGCGCGCATCTTGCCCAGCCTTTGGCTGTTTTGTTAGATTGCCCCACATGACCAACTCACAAAGGGGTGCTAATCGCCAAATTTACAACTTGATGCAAACGCTCAAACAACACACAAGCACACACACACACACACATCTCACACTCACACAACACTTGAGCAAAACGCAAATGGTCCAGAAAACAAAACGACCGCAAAAAACTGTGGGTTTAGTATCTGCAACTGTTTTGCTAGACAAAACTATAAAAATCAACACAGCGCATAGAGCTACAATGATAGCTGCACACACATACATATACAGCTACAGCAACATAACTCCCAAGCTGCCCTCGCTTCAAAGTTGTTGCCAACGACTTTCACTCGCCGCCCCGCTAAGCATGCTACGAAAAGCGTTACATTTGAAAAATGTACTTTTTTTCACACTGCCAACGACCTCAACCTCCCTCTAGCAGTCTATGGTGACAGTGACTCTGCACAGTGGTGCAGAGTATGTTAGAAAGTTTAACAAAGTATGCGTAAATTTAAAATAAAAAGGGAGTCTATGGGATATAGCAAATTAGAAAGGGCAGCTGCAGCACAGTGGTACAAAGTATGTAGAAATAAATATAGAAAATAAAATAATATATAATATATGGTTAAGATTTACGTGTATGTATAGAGAAAATTATAAGACTGCTAACTTTGATTGCGGACTGACTAAGTCGAATAGCTTAAATTGCTAAAATAAAATATAAATATGATTTTTAATATTTTATTTTATTTTTCTAGTATATCACATAAATCCATAAAGACCATAATTATTAAAAAACTACTTAAAGATATTAAAAAAACAAAAATATATATATATATATAAAAAGCACGGAAAAATAATTGTATAATTTTATAGTCCAAATTCAAGATAATTTATAATATATTTATATATTAAAAAGAAAATACTCATAAAAAGTTAAAAAAAAAAAAATTATATAAAAAACACAAAAAAAAATAGAAGAAAAAAATAGAATTTAATAGTCAAATAATTTATTGTAATATACGTATTCAAAAATTTTATAATAAATCAAAACCAATATAGCTGTCAGCAATGTTGTACCACTGTGCCAGCTAGGTGCGACGTTGTGGTGTGCGCTGAAAGGGTATTTTTTACAGCCACATTGTGTTAGTTAGAGAAGGCACATAACACTTTGTTATGTGCGCTTGACAAAGTTGTGGCGCTCTAAAAGTGCTTAGTGCCTTAGTTTAAAGCAATTTTTACTCTGTTTTCGGCTTCTTTTTTATGCACATTTCTCTTCTGGGTGGATAACAGATAAACGCACATAGCTGGGCATTGGAATTGGGTGCTAATATGGTCAAAGCGCTGCGTTTGAATGGCTGAGCAGCTGGTGTGGGCTGGGGCGGAAGTAGCGGGCGCATTCTTTGAGTCTGTTTTTTAAATTTAAAGATTCGCACATGCTGATAAGCACAATAAATAAATCTCGTATAAAGGAAACGGATAACGGATATTTGCGGAATTTACAGACACGTGTGAGTTTGGGGGCGGATGAAACAAATGGCTTTAGCGGAAGGCATTTGGCGCACGCTGCATAGGGTGACTGCTGCATCGCATATGTTAGACGACCCCCAGCTGCAAGCTGCGAACCGGCAAGGACCACGTTGCAGCCTCGAAGGAAAGTGCCAAAATGCCAGGCGCGACAAGTTCAACACCTTGGGCAAAGCGAGGCGATCATGATCCACTCGGCCAGATGAAATAAAAAAGAGAAGAGTATATAAGAAGCAGCAGCAGCAGCAGCAGCAACAGTAACTGCAGCAGGCTGTTTGGGCCTGGCTGAATGTCAACTTTATTAAAAGAAATTATAAATTGGTATGCCA